CTGGGAGTGGGGGCGGAGGGGCTGCCGGATCAGTACGCGGACGGGCGGGCGGCTCGCGTGTGGCAGCTGTACATCGGGGACACGCGGAGCCGCACGGCCGAGTACCGCAGCTGGCTCCTGGCGCTGCTCCGCCAGCACCGCTGCCGCTCCGTCCTCGACGTGGCCTGCGGCACCGGGTGAGGCCCCGCGCCCCGMGCCCGCCCGCCTCCCAGGTGTCCCTTCCCCCTGCCCCCGGCCATCCCCAGTGCTCCCTCCCCTCCGAGCCCCCGCGGCCCCCTCAGCTGCCCCCGGCCCCGCTGACAGCCGTGTCCCCAGGGTGGACTCCATCATGCTGCTCGAGGAGGGCTTCCAGGTGACCAGCGTCGACGCCAGCGACAAGATGCTCAAGTACGCGCTGAAGGAGCGCTGGGAGCGGCGCAAGGAGGAGCCCTTCGACCGATGGGGTGCGGGGGCTGTGGGGGCCGGGAGGGGCCTGCAGACACTGATACCCGAGCCCAACGCAGAGAGCCCTGCCCTGCTTTGCGCATACTGTCCATGGCCCCTCGCAGTGCTCAGGCCCCACACCTGGGGCTGCCGCTGGCCAGGTGGCCTTGCTGCAGAGACCTGCTTGGCACGGTCCCTCACCTGCCTGGCTGCTGGCCGGAGGCTAGATCCAGCACCCACAGGGGCTAGGGAAGGGCTGGGTGTTGCTGGGATGGGAGTCTTGCAGGGGAGGCTGTTGTGTGTCCCTGCYCTCATCCACTTCCATGTGCTGCAGTCATCGAGGAGGCCAACTGGCTCACACTGGAGAAGGACCTGGAGAAGCCAGGGGATGGGTTTGATGCTGTCATCTGCCTTGGCAAYTCCTTTGCACACTTGCCTGACTTCAAAGGTGAGCTGGGGGCAGGGGAGAGGGGGGGGAGTACGTGTGCACAGTGTGTCCCAGCAGGCTGAGAATGTGTCCAAACTCATGCCATTAGTGGGACAGGGGATTACGCACAGTGGAGCTGTGGTTTCATGGYGTGTCTCCAGGGAGGCTGGAGCTCAGGCCCCACTGCCCCATGTCTGTGACATGGTGGGTTCCGTGATCACCGTGGAGGTGTGAGCATCACTGTCACAGCTCTGGAGGCACACCCAGACTTGTGCCACAAGTGGGACAGTGGGTTTCCCACATGGCACACTCTGCCCTGGTGAGACTGAGAACGTGCCTGAGCTCATGCCGTGGGTGGGGCTGTGGGTTCTTCAAGCTGAGATTGGGGGGAAGATGRCAGGGGCAGATCTGTGCGTGTGCCCGTGTGTGTTTACGGGTGAGATAAGGCCATATGGGCTGTGCCATGGGAGTACAGCCAGTGCCTGGAGATGCCATCGATTCCTCTCCAGGGGACCAGAGTGACCACAAGCTGGCCCTGAGGAACATTGCCAGCATGGTGCGGCCCGGGGGCGTCCTGGTCATCGACCACCGCAACTACGATCACATCCTGGCCACGGGCTGCGCACCACCCGGCAAGAACATCTACTACAAGGTCGGTGGCYGGCAGGCCCTGCCCCATCCCAGTCCCCTTTGCCCCATGGCCCCAAGGGGGCCAGGCAGGGCAGGCAGCAGCACACAGATATCCTCCTGTGGTCTCCCAGAGCGACTTGACCAAGGACATCACCACCTCAGTGCTGCTGGTCAACAACAAGGCGCACATGGTGACCCTGGACTACACGGTGCAGGTGCCCCCCACCGAGGCGGGGGCGGACCCGGAGATGAGGTGAGAAGGGCTGCAGAGCTGGCTCCTGGCCTGGGGGGTGGCTGGCACTGTGCCCCACCGTGCCCCTGCCTCACCGGTTGCCTCCTTRCAGCAAGTTTCGTCTCTCGTACTACCCACACCGGCTGGAGGCCTTCACCRCTCTGCTCAAAGGTGCCTTCCAGGGCAAGTGCCAGCACAGCGTCCTGGGCGACTTCCAGCCCTACACACCGGGACAGGCCCACGTGCCCTGCTACTTCATCCACGTGGTGAAGAAGACGGGCTGAGAGGGCTACGGAGATGGGACTGTGGTGGCTGAGAGCTGCGAGCGGCCGTGGGTCCAAGCAGGGGGTGGGGACATGGCTGAGAGCCACMTGGGAGACTCCTCCCCTTAATGAAGAACGCTTGTGACAGCTACCTGCGATCATGGTCCGTGTGTCCCTGTGTGGGCAGGGGACGGGGCGAGGGGGATGGCACAGC